CAATGAGTGATGGGTAATAAATGCTGGTCCAACATCCCACATCCCATGAATTAAGAAAAGGGAGAGTATCTTGTGCACATATAAAGAAAGACCGCTGGGACACTGCATGTTTATAGGTGGAAAGGCAAACATATGTGATCCTGCCTTTTATACATATGCCAACTATCAAGAAAAAGATATATGTCTGGTGTTAGGCTTTATCAGTTACAGGTTCTGATTAGTCATGCATGGGACAGAAGAATAGCACGGAGCAGATGGGCTGAATGGCCACCTTCTCAACTGGAATTCAATTGTAACTTGGTCTGATAAGCTCAAAAAAGGCACTGTGACTGCCCTCTGCTGCTAGGGAGATATGTATGATTGCCCAGGGAAATCAGATGGTGAACTGTTGCTTGATCTGCATTACAGCAACCAACACCAGTGAAAAGGAAGTTTGAGTTTCCAAAGGAGAGGATGGGAAGCCTTCCAGTCAAAAAGGAGAGCCCTGGGGAAGGATCTGAATCTACGAGCAAGAAAACAAGCCCGCCACTATCCACAACGAAAAGAATCAAAGGTAGACTGGTTACTAATGGTTTAAAAAATACATGTATTAGGTGGAATTGTACAAAATAAGGAAGTGCTGAAAGCAGAGCTAATCTCATTACAGCTTTACAAAGCCCAACGTAGACCACAGTTAAGTTCTAGACAATGCACTTCAGGAAGGATGAGGGTTCTTTGAGACGGTGCAGAGTGAGGTTTACCAGAACAGTTCTAGAGGTGAGGGACTGTAGCTCATTGGTTAACTTTAGGGAGCAGAGGCTCTTCTGTGTCATTGAGGAGTGGCCTGTCAGAGGCGTAAGGGGTCACAATGGGATTCAATAAGCGAAATGTCCCATTGGCTGATGGTGCGAGGATGACATGGACACAAAGTTAAGGTTTTGGGGCATGAGGCCCACGAAGTAAGGGAGAGGAGGCAGCTGTGGGGTGGGTTAGTGAGGAAGACCCTTCTTACGCAGAGAGTGGAAATGATGTGAGATTCACATCCGCCAGGAAGGGTCCTCAAGTAGAGATGGTGAATGATGTTATGTGGAAAGTGAACAGGCCCCTGAGGGAGAATAAACTCTCGGGGTTACAGGGAGAGGGCGGGGAGGCGGGGTGGAAAATGGGGCTGGCTGGATTGAGTTGGTGTGGACTTGATTTAGCTGAATGGTTTGTGACTGTACCATAATGACTGTAGCTACCTTTAACAGGGGGCAAAAGAGAGACACGATGTTGGTTAAATTTTTTTAAAAAATTATTCATGGGATGAGGACGTGGCTGGCTAGGCCAGCATTTATTGCCCATCCCCAATTGCCCAGAGGGCAGTTAAGAGTCAACCACATTGCTCTGGGTCTGGAGTCACATGTAGGCCAGATCAGGTAAGGATGGCAGTTTCCTTCCCTAAAGGACATGAGTGAGGCAGAAGGGTTTTTCCAACAATCGACAATGGATTCATAGTCATCGTTAGACCCTTAATTGCAGATATTTATTGAATTTAAATTCCACAATTTGCTGTGGTGGGATTCAAACTCTGGTCCCCAGAACATTACCTGGGTCTCTGGATTAACAGTCCAGCGATAATAACACCAGGCCAGAGGCAATGACCCTGTGAAATATTCGGGACAAAGTTGGGGTACATATGAATACTGAGGTCCAAATAAACTTGATGGGTGCAAAATATAAAAATGTCATGTCCAGATACAGAAATGATTAGACGGTTTAACAGAATGCTAGAGTTTCTCGCTCGCGCTCTGTCTCGCTCTGTTGGGGACTAGAACTCCAGGTGCTCCAGTTGTACAGAGTCCTGGTTAGACCACACCTGGAGTCAGTGGGAGCGGTTCCGGTTTCCACAATTTCGGAAGGAAATCTTGGCCTCGGAGGGATTGCCATGTAGATTCCACCTACCCTATCCCTGGAGCCCTACATTCCCCATGGCTAACCCCCCTACCCTGCACATCCCTGGACATTATGGGCAATTTAGCATGGCCATTCCACCTAATCTGTTGGAGCAGATTTGACGGTTTGAATGGCCTCTGCCATTTGTATTTCCTATCTTCCCATGGAAGACTATGGAGTGAGGAGGGGGTTGGGGTTTGTCCGGTGGCGACAGGCAGAGTAAATGGGCTGATATTCTCTGATGCTTTGAAGAACAGTCTGTGATCTCGCTGAGGCAGATAAGATTCTGTAGGGGGGAGAGGCGCTCGGGTTGGGGGTGGTGTCTTGATAGCGGTGGATACTGAGAAACTGCATCCTTGCAGGATATCTAGAACGCAGGAGGAATGGTCTCAGAGTAAGGGGTCAGCCAATTTGTGCTGAGATGAAGAGAAACTCCTTCCTTCGGAGATCTGTGGATCTTTCGAATTCTCTTTCCCAGGAGAATTTCTATGATAACATGGGAAACGCAGCAACCAATTTGCACACAGGAAGCTCTCCTCCAATAATCCAGATTTTCAGTGATACCGAATGGGTAGGTTTTGACTAGGAACCAAACAGTTTTACTTTTTTCAAAATGTGAAATGATTGAAGTTTGATTGTCGGTTCAGGTCTGTATTTATTAGCGGGTGATTGAGAGAGAGGAGGCGTAGAGTTTTACATCATCTGTGCTCATCTCTGAATAATTCATGGAGCATGAGTGATGGGTGATGGATAGACATCAAATATATGACAGTGCAGTTCCTAAAATAAACAAGAACAAAGCGCGGTATGAATTAAACATGATGTACAAGGGGATGCAGGAAAGTAAACATGCTGCCTGTTTCTCCTCTGGGAATCTCATCCTACCTTCTCGTGTCTGTGCATGTGTGTGCGCCTGTGTGTGTCTGTGCGAGTGTTGGGAGACAACATGGGAGTTAGTTG